CTGTGACCTGTGTATACTGAACATTCATCTTTAACCCTTTTCCTGCTTTGACATGAAGCTCTGGAACAATGAATGCTGACCTGGTTTGATCACATGTATTCTTTTATTTATAGATTTGGACAGAACTTAAAAAGTGTAAGCCTGCATGATATGTGAGTTTAAAGTTAAAACTCCATCTTTGCTCTTCTTTTCCATCAATGTGAACCTACTGTCTGCTGCTGAATTAAATAGTACACATCTACGGTCCAACACTCATCGGATCAACACAGTCTACAGAGCTCTGAGAGAAATCCTGTCTGCTGCTCATATTAACCATCTCATATTTAACACCTTACTAAAATGTATCATCCACGTCATTGTTGAGAACCACAAACTTGAACTGTTTAAATCGCATAACATTTAACTTGGTCTTGTAACTTGTGCCTGACCTCATTTTCTACCTTTTCCTTATAAAAAACATCATCTTTGTCTTATTGAGTAAAAATTTCAATCCCCATTCATATGAGTACTTTTCATTGAAGTGCAACTCACTAAGGCACCTTTAACCAAATATTGCAAACAATCTGCACCTCACCGATGTTCTTGAATATTGTTATTATTACACTTCTTCTGGATTCCTTCATCTTCATAAAAACCCCCAGACGAGAGTCAAAGCAACAACGTTTTGGAGCATGATGGAGACACAAGTGTTAGACTGTTTCTCCATCATTGATCAGTGAACAGAGTGTTTTGATTGAGTTCACTGATCAATGACGGAGTCTGAAGGAGGTTTTCTGACTTCAGGAAAAAACTTGGAAGTTTCTCTTCAGCTCTGCTAACCATCGGCATTATGGGTAGTGTAGGAGGAGACACTCACCTGACACCAAATAATGACGGAATTGAAATAAAAGACCCGCAGAAACTACTAGAAGAAGAACCAGGAGAACCAGGAGAGCTGTGGCCCAGGATGGAAATGGTTCTGTTGAGAAACATGAAACAATATCAACATGACTGTTGAACCTCAATCTCCTGCACTGACCCCTGATGTTTTTCCACATCTCTGACCTTTGACCTGCAGCACTACTTTCTGTCTCAGGATGTCTTTGTCCCTGTAGATGGTGCAGATGTATCCTCCACTGTCTCTCTCTGTGGGGTGTTTCAGGGTCAGGCTGAGGTCTCCAGTTCTCAGCAGGTCTTCGTTCATCTTCGTGCGACCACAGTAAAGGTCGTCCTGGTGGTCGCTTCCATTTGAACACCCGTGGACCATCATGAGTTCTCGGTCAGAGTGAGTCCACTTCACTGTGGTGTCCTCAGGCAGGTCAGGTGTTGTGTTGCAGGGCAGGATGACGGAGTCTGAGCCTTCCTCCACCTTCACCTCCACCTGCTGGTCTGAGAGAACAAGAAACCACAACATCAGCAGCAGCAGGCACACTGATGATAATGAAAGCATCTGTGTTTGTGATGGTCCTGTGTCTTTGAGCTGGAATTATAAAATGTTCATATTTGAGTTTTCTATTGTATTTTCATTCTATTTTATATGACTTTTGTATTATTTTAGTGCCTCTGACTTTTTTTAGTCAGACCAGTTTGTCTCTGTGTCCTGTCCTCAGTGTGCTCATGCTAGTTTACCTCAAATTTCCCCAGTCATGGTCCCTTTCTCTCCCCAGTTTTGTTTTGATGTTTCCAGACTGGTTGCATTTATAAAATGTTTCTGCCATTTTTTAGGTTTAGATTACTAGAAAAACCCTTTCTACTACCTTTTACTGTGACCTCTGACCTGTGTCAGCACTGTACTCATGTTTGACATGTAATTACAGACGTTATTGGGGTTTTTTTACCTTTGACATGCAGCTGTACGTCTGTCAGTTTCAGTTCCTCCCTTTCAGTGCGGATGGAGCAGGTGTAGTCGCCACTATCAGTCAGTCGGGGGTTTCTCAGAGTGAGGCTGAAGTCTCCAGTGTCCAGAGCATCAGGCCTCATTGACGTGCGCCCGCTGTAACGCTGGTTTTGTCCGCTCAGATCATCAGTTTCTTCTTGTCTCAGGTGGACAGATTTGGGGTTGAGATCAGTGCGAGTCCATATCATTGTGGGGTCCTCAACTACAAAACCTGTGTACTGACAGGGCAGCAGGACAGACTTTGCCCCCTCATACACCTCCACCATCACAGCCAGGACATGATGCGAAACTGGAAGGAGACACAAAAACCAGAAACACTAATTAACTATAATTAGCCCATATAATGAGGATAGAAAGAGACTGAA